CCACAGTCACTTTAACTTAAACTCACGCTATAATTCACAACGATTTACACACTTTAATTACGGCTTGACTCGATTATCTGTCTCTATCTCCCTGTCTGCTATTCAATTATCTATGCTGTCACTTCTCGCCGGTCTGGTAAACACTCGAGCCTTCACGAACGTTCTAGATACTCATTACGTGTTACCAGAATCACGTGAATTCCGCTGTCGTAACAATATGTATATTTTAAACATTAAATATTATTTAAACACCATGAGTTACATAATATTCAATGAATTATCTTTTGATGGCATGGAGTTTTTCTGGATGAATTGGTAAGTTCTGTTTACAGTTAAACAAAAAGCTATACAATGGACTACTTGTGCTCTGCATACTGTGGGTATCTAAACTCGATTTTTAGCATTGTAGATCCTCAGGATTTCAGTTGAATTACCGGGTAGCAGGTAAATAAGGAAGAAAATGTTGTACATTGTCTAACTCAACAGTATTATCTACTTGAGAAGTTTGTAAAAGTATACTTTGAAAAAGAACAATTTTGTTGACGTAGTGTACATTTTGATGAATCGTTAACGGTGTTATAAATTAACATTTTAATGCAAATACAAATTTTAAAGCAACAAAGAGACTAATATAAGTACTGTAAGGATAATCCCATTTGCCATTTATGTTTTAAGTTGATTTAAAGTTTGCGTTAAAGGTATAGTTGTGGATCATTTAATTAAAGCTATTGCGGAACGTTTTTCGACGATCCGCTACTCTAGACATGTCAAAAATATAGTGTCAATGGACGTTCTTTGATAGGTACTTACAGCATATCTCCTAGTCGCATTACCTATCGTATAATACGTACAATACCGGCAATAACACAGGTAATTGCTTGATTTGACGATGCCCAGTCAGTGCTTATGAAAAAGATCTATATCATGTAACCTATCCATGAAATCTAGAAACTGAATTGACATCCCTGAACTATTCTACTGTTCAATGCATCGATGCTGAGGTATAATAATACAGAGGTTCAGTTATAATAATGAAATAATATTGTTACGACAGCGGAAGTCACGTGACGCTGGTAACACGTGATGAGTATCTAGAAGATTCATGAAGAGGTGAGTGCAATCTAGATGTGCGCCTTTATAGTATATAAGCCGGCAAATAAAGTGATGGCAAGAATAGTAGCAGATAGAGAGATCGAAGCCATAGACACGGTTAATCGAGTCAAGTGGGTTGTAGGCACCCTAAATAAAGTGCGTGAATCGTTGTGAATTATAGCGTGTGTTTAAGTAAAAGTGACTGTAGAAATTAAGTGTATTGCAAAGTTGTATTGAGAAAGAATAAACTAGTTTTATTTAAGAAAGGACTTGTATCACAGAAGTTTCTCGGAAATAATTTCTACGGAAAATTAACAAATGCACACAGACGTAACAAATTAGTGTCAGAGAGTAGGACGGAAAATAAAAATAAAAAAAGAAGAAGAAGATGGAAACGAGAGGTGGCAAATGAAACTACAGGTTAGCAGATTTGATTACAGCAATACAAGAACA